TACCTCAGCAGAGCTAGCAACATCATAAAGGACCCGTCCCACCCCAGTAACTCTCTGTTCGACATGTTACCGTCAGGCAGACGGTACAGGTCACACAAAACCAGGACAGACTCAGAGAGAGATAGCTTCTTCCCGAAAGCTATCTCAGCAGTAAACAATAGAAACAAAACCAGTTAAAATAGTTCACACAATTTCACACTTTACTGATCATATTGATCACTGTGCAATAAACATACAACTATGTGCAATAACTAACTACACCAAAGATATGTTGTTATATGTTTGATATACTGTTGTCTTCGTCTTTTTTTTTTTTTGCACCAAGTGAGTAGTGCTCAAATCTCGTTGTACACTGTACAAGGACAATAAAGGCTATTCTGTTCTGTTCTGTTCTGTTCTATTCTATTCTATTCTAAAGTGTTTTCTGTGTGATGTGGAGAATGTTTGTGAGAAATTATATAAATAAAATATACTAAACCAAACCGACAATTAAAAAAAAGAATTCTACCACAAGTAAATGAATTATGTCGCCATCTAGTGGCGTCAACTGAAAACGGCAGCTGATGACATTAAAATCAGTCTTTCCCCTAAGACTAAAGAAGAACTTCTACGAGAGTTTTGAACTCACGGGAATGTGGAAAATCCAGTTCTCCCTCCAGCTCGTTAGTCAGATTCTTGTTTCATTGAAAAATACCAATAAACGATTACAAAAACAAATATTACAATTTTTATTGTTTACAATTCTGGTTTTTTTTTGCTCTACAACTTGAGGCTTTTGTCAAGTTAATACAGTGAATGTTTCCCTATGGTTTCACTGCCTGTTGTAATTGGTTGTCTATTCTTATTCCTACAGTTTTTGTCACTTCTCCACCTGCTGCCAAGAAGCAGAGGAAAGACACCGCGCCTCAGTCGGCGTCTTCCATTCCTGCAGAGCTGGACGTGTCTCTGCTGCTGGAGTTTGTCGGGTAAGAATCTCCATGAACATCAAATGCCAACACAAATCTGACTGTTACTAAAAACTTCCATCTGGACAGAAAAATATAATAGTTATTAGAAATGAATCTTAATTCTAATCCTGCAGTCAGTGAGACACTAGGTGGCACTACACTCACCGGCCACTTTAT